CCCTATCGCGCTTACCGGTCATCTTTAAAAAAAAAATAAATAAATAAAATAAAATAAAATAAACCTAAATATCTGAATGTTGAATGGTAAAATAAATTATGGTATAAGCTACATAATGGACTACTATGCATACGTTAAAAATATTCTCTATAAACATTTCTTCTTAACTGAAGAAATTTTTATGTTAACTGGAGAGAAGACACAAAACTGTAAATACATTATGATCTCAGTAAAATTAGAAATATATGTAAGAACAAGTACTAAAAGAAAATGCACTCAGGCTAGCTAGTTAGCTCAGCTGGCTGGAGAGAGGTGCTGATAACACTAAAGTCTGGGGTTTGATCCCTGTACAGGCCAGGAAAAAAAAAGGGGGGTGGGGGGGAGGAAAAGAAAATAGGACACCAAAATATTAACAGTGGGTAACCACTGGTGGTAAGATTTGGGAGTTTTATTTTGTTTATATTTTTCTTTTTTTTTTACAATGAGCAGATACCCAAGTAATGGAGCCCAATATATAAAAACCACTCTACCTTAGGGGCCGGCCCATGGCTCACTCGGGAGAGTGCGGTGCTGATAACACCAAGGCCCCGGGTTCGGATCCCATATAGGGAAGGCCGGTTCGCGCACTGGCTGAGCGTGGTGATGACAATACCAAGCCAAGGGTTAAGATCCCCTTACCGGTCATCTTTTTAAAAAGAAACAAAAAACAAACAAACAAAACAAACAAAAAAAACCAATGTCCTCCATTTACTTTAACTGTAAGCCATTGGCATTACAAACAGAGCCATTTAAAATCACAGTAAGTTCTCATCTACACGCCCTCAGGAATACAGAATGATAAAAGAAACCTAGCTATGTGACATAACTGTGTTACACCCAACTGATTAACAGATTTTGTCAGTTTGTGTTCAATGAGGAGCCAACCAATTTGCCTTTAGAAAATCTGTTTTTAGGGCCGGCCGGGTGGCGCACTGGAGAGTGCGCCGCTTAGGAGCGCGGTGGCACTCCTCCCGCCGAGGGCTCGGATCCCATGTGGAGACCGTTCTCGCTCACTGGCTGAGTGCAGTGTGGGCGCAACACCGAGGGTTGCGATCCCGTTGCCGGTCCCCGGTACGGGCGCAACACCGAGGGTTGCGATCCTGTTGCCGGTCCCCGGTATGGGCGCAACACCAAGGGTTGTGATCCTGTTACCGGTCAGTAAAAAAGACAAAAAGGAAAAAAAAAATCTGTTTTTAAAAACCACCAAAACAACCACACAACAAAATCCTCCAGGAATAGTTGTACTGAAAGCCTATTACAAGAATTTAACAGAAAGACCACCAAATTGAGATTCAGAAGACTTGTACTATAAATCTGTGATTTTAGGCAATACCAATCTCCATAAGGCTCAGGTTCCCAACCTATAAAATGGGATTATAATAACATAAACTTTACAAGATTATTACAAAGATTTAATTAAATTAGAGAATTTATGTTTATGTGATTTAGTAGATGTAAAACACCAACAAGGTAATAATAATATTATCCCCTTCTAGGCCTCATCTAAAGTGAAAAGGTTTCAACAAATCATTTCCAATCCCTGTACAGCTCTAACGTTACATTTATAAACAACAGAATAATGTTGCTACAGCAAATAAGACATAGAATACACTAAGCATTTTTCTAGAATTCATTCCAGCTTAACAGTGAGTTATATATGATAAACTAAAACCTGAGATTAGAATGGAGAATCAAGATGATTTTGTTCTAGCAATTTTTAAAAATTATTTTTTTGTGATAAATTATCACTGTTAAGCATCATCAACAACAAAAACAACCCTTCCAACAGTATCAAAAAGTATAAAGTGGAAAGTAAATCTGTCTCCTGCTATGCCTGCCTGCAAAGAAATTCTGTTTTCCAGAGGTAACCACTGATGAGATTCTTGTGTATCTAAACATTTTCAGTACAGCAGTCATTAGACTTAGCATAAATTGCAGAATTTTAGAGCTAGAAAAAACTGGCACAATACAACTTTCAATTTTATAAATAAGTAACCTGAGACACAGATAAAAGATTTTTTGATTAGTTGTTACTAACTTCTGGAAAGAACTTTACAATTCATAAAATGCTTTGACATAAACTATCTACTTTAAATTACTAATGTCTGGAAAGAACTTTACAATTCATAAAATGCTTTGACATAAACTATCTACTTTAAATTACTAATGTCTGGAAAGAACTTTACAATTCATAAAATGCTTTGACATAAACTATCTACTTTAAAATTACTTTAAGTGATTTGCCTCAAGGTTATGCAAGTTAATGATATGGCTAGAACTATAGTTAGAAAGTTGATGTCTTATCAATTATTATGCTAATAATATAGATCATGTGGTACAAAGCTTATGTACATGGCTCTTTAATTTTCAAACATATCTTATATCACATAGGGGATCAAAAAGTTTGGCAATTCCTGGTCTAGTAATTATTACATATAAAATTTGTGGTACAAAGCTTATGTACATGGCTCTTTAATTTTCAAACATATCCTATATCACATAGGGGATCAAAAAGTTTGGCAATTCCTGGTCTAGTAATTATTACATATAAAAGTCATTAGATGTTATAAAAGGAGAAATCTAAGCAATACAAGATAAATTCTGAAGTTTGTGTGTATCTTGAGAACTTACTCTTAAACTACAGACACAATTGATACACAATGATTACTAAATATACTTAGAATTAATAAAATTACCAACAACTTCAAAATCAGAAGAAACAACATGAGAGACACCCAAGCAAGAAAAATGTCACATATGATATAAATGTATACAAAACTACAAATGGAAATCAAGTGAATAATAAAGTACCTAAATGATGTTGCAGCCTTCTTTCTGGCATAAAGAAAATCAGTGCTGATCACAAAATCTGCACTGCCAATGTGGCAATGGCAACCATGAAATATTCAGTATGACTGATGCCAAAAATGAAGTTATTTCTTATTAGGAGAATGTGACAGACAAAAATTAAATAGAAAGGCAAACAAAATCTCAAAATAATTCTGTTGTAACAGGATTTAAAAAATAGGAAACATGCAAATACGTAGGTTTAAGAATATAGATTCTCACTCCAATTATGGAATATAATTGTAAGAGAATAAAATTTAAATTAGATTTACAGAAGGAATTAACCATTAATTATGCTAAATTTATAGGTAAGTATGCATTCTAAATTTACTAAATGCAATAATCAATATTCAGCCAAAATACAATTAACTCAGACAACAAAAATCATGTCCAAGGAAAAAAATGGAAAATAAAAATTTAACCAGATTAAAAAAAAAAGGAATAAAATTTAACCAGATTAAAAAAAAAGGAATAAAATTGTGTATCATATATAAATTAATCTTTTATTTTACTATATTAAAGAATATTTCAAAAAACACACATTTTTAAAGTGGCTTTTGTCACTAATAAAAAAAAAAGAAAGTTAACTTTAATTTTTGCTTTTCAAGACTGAAATTGTCAATAAAATAGAAAAATCATGAGGGTAACAAATATAATTAGCATTCTTCTAACTAAAAACAAAACCAGGAAAAAACCAAATACTTTCCAAATGCAGTGAAGTCTTCAAATTATTAATCAGAGAGGAAAACAAAAATTCTTTTTCTGAGAAAGAATGCTCCATATCAAGGTGTTGGTTTTATATGCAAATATATTAATTTTCTTTACTGGTTAAACAGCTTCTGTTTTGTTAAGATGAAGATATGTAAACATCTTAATATCTTTCGGTTTTTTAAATCAAATGTTTGCTTTTTAATCGTATGTTCGTTCATGCCTCTTTCATTTCATGAAACAACTGAAACATTTATTTTATATTTGTGTCAGATAATTCGAATGTGTGAAGTACTTTTTGTCTAATTCTCTTAATGGTTCTCTTCATGGTTTCTTGTTTTCTTTTGCATTGAATGATTTTCTACTATGAGTTCACTCTTAAAATTTTATTTGTGGAAATTCTTTAAGACAAGTTCCTTTTGAAGAGATTTAGATTTGATTGTTAGGTGCTTGGGGATACCACCAAAACAAAACACTTAAAATCAAACTCCCAACTTGTTTCTTTTTCTTTCTTTTTTACCATTGAAATAGTATGAACTTAGGGTGAAAACCTAAGTAAAAGCTAGTACATGGTTATAAACTTCCATGGGAAACCTACTTTTTCCCCCTTTAATCAATGACAAAATTTTAAGACAGGCTATTTTTCCCTTGTGTTGCAAGTAGCTTTTTAGGATCTCAACGTTATCAGGAAGATGTGGCCACTAATGACTTTCTACCTTGGAAGGGCCTTGGACTTGTCTAAGATTAGAAAAGATCCTTAAAGTGAAGCAGGCTTCAGTGCTCTTTTTGACTTTCCTTAGATCCTACTTTCACTTAATCTCTGGCCTGTATATTCCTTTTTATTTTAAACGATCATGGAGATAGATTTTAAAAAATAGTTTTAAAATTTCATCCAAGATTTTAAGTTGTTTTTAACATAAAGAGAGTTGTTCACTTTGGGCCCCTAGATGCCATACCTCCAGAATCAAAAGCTATTTTTATACGTACTACTTACTGCCTTTCAATATTATTCTCTTTTTAAAAACATGTCACCTATCAGAGCTCTCATGTCGAGTACAGTTATTTCTTACATGAATTTTAACCTTGTGCATATATATATACAACTATGTTTCTACAGCTTGAAGACTTTGGCTACCTTCCAAAAGAGGTAAGTACATCCTTACTCATAAGATAAAGCAAGAACTGATAAAAATAAGTCATGTGTTTATTAAAGTTTATAATAATTTATATAACAGATAACAATAAATTATTATATAATGAATTAAGCAAGATTGGTATTTTAGTAATAACCCTTCTGCCTATAGAAACTTTTACTTACTTTGGAAGGAGAACCATCAGTAATTTTCACCAACTGCCAAAGAATCGTGTAGTGGGAACACTGCAGTGCCTGTACAACTATCTGTACAAAATGAAAAAAAAATTATTTCAATAAAAAAAATTCAAACAAATGATACAAGTATGATTGAACAGTACTAAGAGAGTAACATTTAAAATAGATAAATATAAACCCACATAACACTAGGGCTTTACACAAATATGCAGTGTCATGAATATTTTGCTTACTCAGATTTTTAAAAGGAGATTAATGGAATTATTTCATCCAAATTTTACAACTGAAATATCTGAAACTGAAAAATGATCCAAATTCTACAACAAAATGTTCTACTTATTTTGGTTTGAAGCATTTTTAGTGAGAAATATAACGCTCATACTAAAAAGTACATAAAACAAATATAAAGCCTTATAAATTAATATATAGCCATGTACCACGTAACTGTTTTGGTCAATGACAAACTCCATATATGATGGTGACCATATCATATAGCCTAGGTTTGTGGAAGGCTATAACATCTAGGCTTGTGTAAGTACAGAATTCAGCAAAACAGGGAAGAAGACCCCCTGAAGTTCAGAAACTCAGGGTGGCAGCACAGAAAGAAAAGTGAAGCACCTGTCTGGGACCACTTGGAAACAGGAGAGATACCTTACTAAGGGGAGAAGGTAAGTGAAAAGTCCCCAACAATTTACATTCCCACGACACCTGCGATCTCAGCTACAAGAGCACCACACAGCCTTTGCAGGCCATGAGCCCAGTATACGGAGCTGCTTGGAGCCCACATGATTGCATCATTCCAAAGAGGGAATTCACACTAAGCTCCCCCATCCCCTAGAACCCAGGCTGTCATGGCACATGGCCACATTTGGGGATGGGAGCCAACATCAGAGTGCATTCTGCCCTGGTGCCCAATACCTCTGGCATCTCCACATCCCTAAAGTACCCTCAACACTACATCACGCTGTGAGTCCAGCACTAGAACCCATCCAGTGCCCTGCACCTCTGGGATCAGGTAGTCCAGCACAGTGGGCAGGCCACCCCCAGGACAAAAGGAGCCAATGCTCACACTTTGCAGAGCCTGAGAACCAACCAATTGGGGCCTTCTGCCACCCCGAAGCCCTGCTCTTTTCAGTGAATTGCCCAAATACCTACCATAGGGGACACAGAAACCCAATACAGCACCACACCAACAAACCTGCCTAGAGCTACCCACTCCACCTGCAGAGCTGCCTCTCCTGGGGGCCTGAGATCTTGCCAACTACCCCACTGACTCTGCCCAGTGTCATCTATTACACCTGTGGAGGCTGAGAATCTGTCAGTGCCTCTCCTGGAAGACCAAGGTCTAGGACACAGCCCCAGCAAACCCCCACCTCCCCAGGGCTGGCCGCTCCACCTGAGGAGCTACAGAGCACCCCAGTGCTTCTCCCAGGAGTCTGTGGTCCCATCCACTACCCCAGCAACCCCACTCACTTTAGTGGAGGAATAGCTGACTGCCATAACACCTCTCCCAGGATGCTAAATTTGCAACATCAACCCCAGCAACCCCACCAAGGGTCACCGACTTCAGCTGAGCAGTCACTGAATGTACCAGAGCACCTGCAGGGGCTCAAAGTCCTGCCAGCAGCCCCAGCAGTCTGACCCAGTGTCACCATTCCAGCAAGGAGCTGTTCAGCATTCCAGTGCCTAGGCTACAAAGGCACTAGCAGACAACTCCAATGTTGAATGGTTGAAGAAATCATATGAAGAACACCCAGAACTAAATCTAAAACACCCTACCCAACTGACACTACAGAAACATTTACAGGAAAGTCTTTCAATTCAAAAATTATTCCAGAAAATTAGAAGAAGTGACTGTTCCACCAGATGCTCAGACATCAATCTATGGATATGAGAAACATGAAAAAAATTTTTAAAAATGACACCCCCAAAAGATAACAATCATACTCCAGAAGAAGACTCCAAAGAGAAGAAAACCTACAAAATGCCTGAAAAGGAATTCAAAATCATCATCATTATCATCATCATCATCATCATCACCACCACCACTTTAGGGAAACTCAGCAAGATGCAAGAGAATATAGACAGACAATTCAACAAATTAGAGAAATAATTCATGATCTGAATGAGAAATTCAACAAAGAGATAGATATCATAAAAACCACCACCACTTTAGGGAAACTCAGCAAGATGCAAGAGAATATAGACAGACAATTCAACTAATTAGAGAAATAATTCATGATCTGAATGAGAAATTCAACAAAGAGATAGATATCATAAAAAAAGAACCAAGCAGAAATCTTAAAACTGAAGAATTCATTAAATGAAATTAAAAAATTCCCAAGAGCTCAAGCAACAGGCTAGATCAAACAGAAGAAAGGATTTGTGAACCTGAAGGCAGGTTTTTTGAAATAACCCAGTCAGACAAAATATAATAATAATGATGATGAAGAATGAAAAAGAATATGAGATTTATAGGACTCTTTAAGCATACAAACATTTGCATTTTGGATGTTCCAGTGGGGAATCAAAGGAAAAAGACTTTGAAAACCTATTTAATGAACTAATAGCTGAAAAATTCCAAAGTTTGGGAGAGGTACAAATGTCCAAATCCAAGAGACTCAATGATCTCCCAGCAGACTTAATACAAAAAGGTCCTCTCCAAGGCATATGTGGTCAAACTGTCAAAACTCAAAGACAAAGAGAGAATTATAAAAACAGTAAGAGAAAGCATCAAGTCATCTATAAGGGAATCTTAATCAGACTATCAGCAGATTTCTCAGCAGAAACTTTACAGGTCAGGAGAGTATGGAACGACATATTTGAAGTGCTGAAAGAAAAAACCCTGCAAGCCAAGAATAATATTCCCAGTAAAGTTATCCTCCAGAAATGAAAAAGAAACACTATATTTCCCACACAAACAAAAACTTAAGGTACTCACCATGAATAGATTTAGAACTCCCTTAAGGATTTCTTGCAGACCTACAAGAAATCCTTAAGGGAGTTCTACATTTGGGAAAAAAAGGATGATAACTATAATCATGAAAAGAAGCAAAAAATAAAACTCACCAGTACAGCAGATACACAAACAAGAAAGAAATTATATCTTACAACTATAGAAAACCACCAAACAGCAAAGATAAACAATAAAAGAGGAAGAAAGAAACAAAGGATATTTCAACTAAAGGAACAACTTTAATAAAATTAACAAAATGTAAGGAATGAGACCATACCTTAACAAAACAACACTGAAGGTAAATGGATTAAATTCCTCATTTAAAAGACAGACTGGCTGAATTAATTATAAAACAAGACCTACCTATATGCTGTCTTTGAGAAACTCAGTTCACCAGTAAAGACACATAGACTAAAAATAAAGAGATGGACAAAGATATTCACACAAATAGAAAACAAAAATGAACAGCAGTAGTTATAATTCTATCAGATACAATAGAGTTTAAATAAAAAATTATAAAAAGAGACCAACATTATATGATGATAAAGCGATCGATTCAGCAAGTGGATATAAAAACTGTAAATATATATGCACCCAATATTGGAGCGCCCAGATATATAAAGCAAATATTAATGCCTCTTTATAAAACAAGACCTACCTATATGCTGTCTTTGAGAAACTCAGTTCACCAGTAAAGAAACATAGACTAAAAATAAAGAGATGGACAAAGATATTCACACAAATAGAAAACAAAAATGAACAGCAGTAGTTATAATTCTATCAGATAAAATAGAGTTTAAATAAAAAATTATAAAAAGAGACCAACATTATATGATGATAAAGGGATCGATTCAGCAAGTGGATATAAAGTAAATATATATGCACCCAATATTGGAGCGCCCAGATATATAAAGCAAATATTAATGCCTCTAAAGGGACAGATAGACCTCAATACAATAATAACTGCTGTTCATTGTTGTTTTCA